GAGGGGCAGGGGGGGCAGCGGCAGGAGGAGCAGCAGCAGCAGCAGCAGCAGGAGCAGCAGGAGCAGCACAGTCCAGTTACAACAAAGTGCATGTGTTAAGAGGAGAAATGATTTTTACAAAACACACTGGCAGCTTTTTCAGCTTTTTCCGTCTTTGATGTCATGGCCGTCGGCCACCACTGGAACCCATTTGCATGGTTTTTAAAAAGATAAGAGCCTTTTCTTTTCTTTTTTCTTTTTTTTTTGCAGTTGTGACATGGTCTTGTTTTCCCTCGGCCTCGTCTGTGCTCGTAAGTGTATTATGAATATATAAATGTATATAAATTTACATTTATATTTATATTTGGAACATATATTTAGCAAATATACTGTATATATACACCTATATATCATAAATATAGTGCAATAATTTTGTGAAACAATAAAAATAAATAAACATGAACAGAATGAAACATGTGTCAATGGTTGTTCCACTTTAGACAAACAGGATATTTGACACTTTTATAGACTCATAAAACTGGACTGTACCGAGCCAATCACTGGTTACACTTTAACCAGAAAAACACACACACACAGTAACACACACACAGCCCTGGGTCAGTCTGCAGTGAAAACCTCCACCTCAGGTAAGAGCTGAGCTTTTCAGTTTAAGTTTTAATTTTGAGTTTAATTTTCCATTCCCATTTATTTATTCATTTTCACCCAAACAATGAGATCAGATCAGTTTCAGCTCAAGATCTGTTCACATCTGTCTGAAAATAAGTTGAAATGGAAACCAAACCACAGCTAAATGTAAATTAGATGAATTATTATGTCAAAAAATCAAAATAATTTTAATTAAAAATGCGGGCATTTTATTTTCCATTTTTATTTTCTAATTTGAAAATGGTGAATTAAAATATTGATAATGAAATAGGAACAGAAAAGCTGAAAGTTGTTCAAAACTTTGACAAAAGCTTGAAAAGATTCAAAGATACAGGTTAGACCAGTAGCTAAAGGTTAGCATGAAATGAGCTCTAACCAACAACTTCATTTTTTACTAAGTTGTTACTCTACAATTTTTCGTCCAAATTTTTAGCTCTGTCCTCATATGGACTCTACATCTGAACTTCGTCCTCATGTCAACAGTCCAGTGGATGTTCTGGGTCCTTGGAGACGTCACCATGACGACAGAGAGAGGAACTTGATGACGTTGAATGTGCTGTTGCTAGGTGACAGACAGAGTGGGAGGAGCTCCGTGGGAAATGCTCTGATTGGTCAGAAAATCCTTTCACTGATTTCACAAATACTTCATCTTGAGATTTTATAACATTTAATTATGTGAAAAAAATCTTTAGTTAATTAGTCATTTGTTTCTGAACATTTGGGCAGGTGGACATGAATTCCTTACAGGTCCTCAAATCTTGGGTGTTTCCACGACAACAGAGTACCAGGTCCTGAGTCGAAACTTCCCGGGTTTTTTCAGACGTCAGGGGGCGGAGTCTGATCTCACCTTCAGAGTGACTGACACGCCTCCTCTGACATTACTCTGCCCCGAGAGTTTGCATCAGCTCTGTCCTGATGGCGTGCACGTAGTTGTAGTCGTTGTGAGAGTGGACACAACACATGAACACACACACCTGGAACAACAACTGGAGGTATTAAAACACACACACACACACACACACAGTGTTGTACTGTAAAGTTGGTTATGTGTTTGTTTGTTTTCTCCAGCACCTCTTTGGTGCAGGTTGGCGTAGCCACGCCCTCCTCGTCCTTACACATGCTGACCATCTGAAGAAGGCGGGTTTTCAACCTTCGGTCTTCCTCACAAAGGCCCCTGATTGGCTGACGTCACTGGTTAACCAGGTAAAAGGCGGAGTCTTGTTCTTAGACAACAGCTCTGATTGGCCGTTGATGGCAGGTCAGCCAGTCAGAGATGGAGTTCTCCGCGTCTCGGCCGGAAACCAACACAGAGCAATAAAGGTCAGGACGGAGGTCACATTCTGACCAAAGAAAAATGATCACAACCGTCCACAAATTATCAAAGAATTTCAAAACATCGTCAGCAAATATACTAGAAATACTTCAAAAACCAAACACTTGAATTAAATAATAAGATAGTGTTTCTGTGTATATCAAAATGTTGAAAAATCAAAAATCATGATGACTTTTTTTATTATTAACCCAACTACATAATATTTAAAGGGGGAAGAATGTGAAACATGGAAATGTTTTGTGAATAAATGTATAAATAATTAATAATAATAAATGTAAATATCTAGGTCCTGTGAATCATCAAAAACATTAAAGAAAATGGTGAAATATAAGAAATGAATATCAGGAAGACAGTTGTGTTTTTGTGTCACTTTTAATTAACAGACAACAGTTTGCTGTGTTTTTCATTTTCTAGCAGCTAGCGCTAACGACGGATCTCAACAGATAAACTCCTCTGTTTATCTGATGGTACAGTTGGTCAGAGAGGGCGCTCTACACAGACCTTTCCCCTTCACCTCAAACCCACAGCCTTTATAGTTGGCCACGCCCTTGTTGTCCACCTGCAGGTCAGCATGAAGACGTTCCCAGATCCTCTGCTTGGACGGTAGCTCCCTGTCAGGCTCACCTGAGCAAACACCACCAGAGGGCGTCAGGTTTAAAAACAGATTATCATGTATAACATCATTTTCCTCAGCTCAGTTTACCAGGGTAGTTAAGGAAGGTGACTCTGTCACCAGGTGCAGAGCCTGTGGGCGGGGCCAGGAGTTCTAAGCAGTCATCAGAGGAGGCGCAGCAGAGGATGCGACCCTGAGAAACCACGCCCTTCAGTTTACAGGCTTTTAGGTTACACAGTAGTACAGCCAGACTGCCCTGTAACTGCCCACGGAATGAGAAGCACAGAATTATGTCAACTCTAGGTTTCTATAAATATTTACGGTTATCTTTTAGCAACTCTACCTCCTCCAGCTGTATTTTTGTGCCAAGCTTGCTGACGACCGTTCGCGGTGCATTTTCTCCCACATCCACTTCCTGGATAGACATGGACTCAGACAGTGGGTGACGCCGGGCACTGAGGATCCGCCCCACCCTCAGGTCCAGACGAGATGCATCCACTCGAGGCGCCGGCTCCAGGGACAGAGCATCAATGATTTGACAAGCTGTATGATAAGGCAGGGAGAGGGAAACTGTTGTACTGTACTTCCTGTTTCGTTTGGACTCTGGCCGTTTCCTTTTTAAGGCCTTGTTCTCCCCCTTGTGCTAGAAACCAGGCGGTTGTTACGTCTATGTTAATTCTGGGGTTGGGTTAAGGTTAGCATGTCACATTAGCCGATGCTAATGATTAAAGCTAGCACAATCCTACTATAGTCCATGCTGATAATGTAGCTCCCTGTTAGCGTGGTTCTGCTCACCATAAAGATGATGTTAACACTTGGGTCTGGGCAGTAACATGCATGTGGTAATTGAGACCTAGAGTCACATAGAGCCGCTCTGTCTGAGTGTCGTGATGATTCTGTGTTCATCCAACAGCTTCTAGGTTTCTCACAGCGACTTATTCTCAGACTGTGGTCAGTTAGAGCTACATTCCTAGGGTTTCTACTCTTTTCTCACCTTTTCTGTCTCCTCGTCTCCTCCTGCCTTGCTTCTCTCTGCGCTCCTGTGGTGCGGGAGCAGTCGATAGAGGAGTGGGAGCAGCTGTGGCCCCGGCAGGAGCGGCAGGTTGATTGACAGGTGTGGTGGAGACAGGACTAACGGTCTTTGACAAGTGCAGAGCTTTTGCTGATGATAAAACCACACAGAGACACAGATGTGTTTCGTTTTCTCTTGCAACGACCTTTGTAAAAATCAACAAATATATGCAGGAATGTCATTAACGATCACAGGCTGTTTATCTGACATTTATCTTTTGGACAGAACTCCAAAAGATTTCGACTTCATAAATTTCCAATTGGATCTCAAAGAAAAACAGATCTTAATCAGGTTATAATCTGCTCCAGATGAGACAGAAACCAAATCAACTGCGGCTGGTTTTAATTATGTGTGTGTGTGTGTGTGTGTGTGTTCTATGGGTGGTGTAACAATTACCTTTAGGCTTAGATCAAGGATTAGACTGGGCCATTTCTCTGGACAAGCAACGGTCAGTCTTCTTGATGTTTGTTCCAGAACCTGTGACTACTGCAGGTCTCACCTTCAGACCGTTGTGGACTCTAACCAATGTTTTTCCACAGAGCCTTGGACCATTGACTTGGACCATTGACTTGGACCATTGACTGTGGTTTAACTTGTGTTTGAAAAAGGACCTGGACTTGAAATGCCTCAGACTTGAAACGACTCAGATTTGAAACGACTCAGACTTGAAACGACTCAGACTTGAAACGACTCAGACTTGAAACGACTCAGACTTGAAACGACTCAGACTTGAAACGACTCAGACTTGAAACGACTCAGACTTGAAACGACTCAGACTTGAAACGACTCAGACTTGAAACGACTCAGACTTGAAACGACTCAGACTTGAAACGACTCAGACTTGAAACGACTCAGACTTGAAACGACTCAGACTTGCCTCAAGCTACAATATTTATCTACAAAGACTAACTTCAGCATTTTTGCGCATTAAAATGTAATGTTTCATTAAACTACAAGACTCGTGCACACTGTCAGCATTTTTTTAACTGAATGTTGACACAATCTGGAAGAATGACCTGACCTCAGAGCTGAGTCCTTTAGGACTCTCTACTTCACTGTGAGCCTTTCTTTCGTGACTCTGATTCCCGACTCAGACTTTCTTCCCAAACCCTTGACACTCTTAACTTTTTCTAACATCTTCTGTATTCACTGAAACCCAATTATTCTTGATGAAATATTTGAAAGGCGAGTAAAAACTCAGCTCCATTCAGACAAGTGTTTTATGCTGTAAAGAAAATCGTTACCTGTGCGTCTCCTCTGCTTCTCCTGCAACTGAAATTTTAGCTGCTCGATGTCGGTCTTCAGTTTGGCGTTTTCCACCAGCAGCTTTTTCTGCTCCCTCACTGATGCCTGGAGCACTGACACAGAAACACACACACACGACAGTGTCATCTGCGTATCGTATGTGATTTTCCCCCTTTACATATAAATACATACATGATAAAACAAAATCGTCATACGTGCTTTTTCTCGTGTCAACAGAGCCTGAGTTTTGAAATAATCCAAAATCTGCTCTCCGTCCTCGGGGTCCAGCTTCATCACAGCTGCTGCCAGACTGATGGACAAACAAAAGCACAAAAGCACCTTTAGGCCACAGAGAAGGTGAGGATTCTTGACAAATTAGGTAAAACAAAAAACAAAAACAAAAAAACAAACTGTGACTCAGTATTTGTTTATTTGTTTTTCTATTTCTATTTTGCTATTTAAATTACTATATATGTGTGTACATGTATACATGTGATAAATGTTTTTATGTTTGTTTCCCAATTATTTGTGCAATTTTTAATTATTATTAATATTGTACTGTGTGTAAATCTATGATCTATAGCTATATATATATACATAATATTTTAAACATTTTTTTTTCTAGATGTTGGGTTAACTCTTTTTTATACCTTATTAATTAATATGTCTCACACACACACAGAGACACACACACACGAGCAACAGTTGCTAAAGAGATCCAACAGCTGCAGACAGACTCTCAACTATAAATAACACACACACACACACACATTTGTATCTCAATATCTCCAATCATATTATTGTAAACAAAACTTCAGGCAACATTTAAAAATAATATCAAATAATTCTTTTTGTATTGAAGAAAATATATTTCTTTAATGTTGTGCCATGAGAACAACACTGTCAGGGACAATTAATGAAAAACTGAAGAATTATGGGCACAGTCTGAACTTTCATCTGCAACAACAACACACACAACACAACAAGACAAACAAAAAAAAAACCCACAGCAATAATATTGAATATCATGGAAGTGACAAACATGTCTGACTCGGTGTCAGCTGAAAACAGATGGTGAGTGTGAATGTCCAGCACTGAGAGCCCTCTACAGGCCGTTTACTGTTACTATTATTAAAGGTACCCTTACTATTATTAATGGAAACTAACAAGTTGTCTCCAGTACCTGGGGTGGAAGAGGTCGCTGGTGTCCATCTTGTCCATCTTGTCCACCGTGCTTGTCCTCCACACTCACACTCTCTCAAACAAAAAGCTGTAGGTCCCTCGTCAGCTGAGACCCTCTCTCTGTCAGCTGTCAGCTTCCATCTGCACATAGACGTCAAAGGTCAAACATGACCCCTCCCCTCTCCAACCAAACGTGTATCTCAGGATGACGTTGGGCCTACATTTACAAAAGGAAATAAAAATCAAACACCTTTTTTACTTGACATAATACAGGTTTACTAATGACGGTTCTGTAGATGGACTATGAGCGCCCCCTACCTATCGAACCTCCTTACGCTGGAGAAATAAGCAGATTTTAGACACAGCTGCGTTGATTGTACTTTTTAAACCGTATCCAACCTGAAGATATTTGTCTGTGTAGTACCACTAGTACGACCAACACTGACGCAGTACCACAGACACACACTGTTCAGATAAGAGCAGTATATGAAGAGGAGAATTTGGATTAGTCGACTATTTATCACTTCAACACTGACGTGACTCCCCAGCGCTGTTGGAACGAGTTCCCCACACGTACCACTAGAGGGACCAAGATTACCACCAACAGTACATGAAGTTTGAGAACGACTAACCCGATTGAATATACGAATATACATAGTGTCCGTAGATAACCCAGTAAGTACACGGACACATACGTTTATTGACATACTGGTTCCTCTATCAGCGCACCTCCAATTCCCCATGACAACCAGCTTTCTTATAAAGGAAGCATGTTAATCATTTTCAAATGGCCAAAACACACACATATCACACATATATAGACTGCATTTATTTGTTTATTTAAATATCAGCTTTTTATTTGAATTTTTTACACAGCAAATGTTTATTTACACTTTATGATAAGGGAAAATTCCTATTTTTAATTTCGCGCACCCCCTAGTGGCAGCGTACGCACTTTGGGAATTCCTGCTCTTATCAGTACACAAAATGAATATATTTTATCATTTTGCCTTTTAGAACTGTCCATCTGGATTCACCGTCTATCCATAATGTGTCATAGTCTCTGTGTTCTGTGGTAAGGCCAAGTGAGTGATTCACTGAAGACTCACCTCATAAATACAGGTTGGGCTTGACTCTGTGACATCTACAGTGTGTGCTAATTGTTTTATCTCAGGCACACGTTTATTGAACAGAATACATTGGAATTATTTGAAATGTAAGCTGTCACATCTTTTTATTTTAATGGGGTATTACATCATCCTAATAAAGTATATTTTATATTTACATTTTAAATATGATTTACTTTTCATGCCTGTTGTTCCAGGAGTTTCGTTTAGATAAAAAAACTCGCCCGAGTCATCGTCGTCATGTTTCGGAGATGATTCGTCAGAGGGGTGGAGTCAGTGAGCGGAAGTTGTTCCCTTTTTCTGTCAAACGTAGGATAACTGGAGGTGAGAAGCTCCAAGTGGGGGCGTGGATGTCTCGTCAGTCCTGGAGGTCCCGTGCCTGGGCAGACACTCTGAGCACGCGTACGGCGTTGAGAGAGGAGGACGATAAGAAGGAGAAAAACAACGTTCTTGGTTTTCATAGTTAAGAGGAGAAACTGTGAAGCAGATGCGGTGAGTTTGTCTTTGTTTAGCAGCTCAGGAAGGAAACACTGTGAGTTTGTGTTCGACTTTTACCTGTTTTACCAGTTGGACACGGAAACGTGTCTGACGGTGACGCACCGTGACACAGGTGCGCTTGACGTCGCTGCGTTAAAAAAAGTAACTGAAGCAAACTTTGCCTTAATTTAAGCGACGACGACTAAACTTTCAGTGTGATATTTTAAAAATTAAATAACGTTAAGAAAGAAGGGAGTTGTTTTTGGTATTTTTTGCCTTAAACTAACTTATGGACGGACCATAAGTGTAAAAACCAGTGGAACACAGAGTAACAATGATAGAATCGGTTACGACTGGTTTGTTGATGAGTTTTTGTTTGTTTTTGTTGTTGTTTTTTAATCAAGTCAAAGAAATGAATAGTTTGGAACAAACAAACACAATATTTCTGAATATATTTAGGGGTTAAATGTCCTTGAAAATGCTTAAGGGTTTTGTATTTGTGACACCACAATATTCCGTTTGATGAAAAAGGGCATAAAAAAACCCATAAAATCTGGAAATATCCTCGTCCTACTGTGTGAAATGGGATCATTGAAATTGAAGTAGTACAAGTTAGTGGGAAACATTAAGTCTGTCGATATTTATGTCATTACTAAATGACTATTTCAGTTTTTGTTGAACACAATTTAACAACTAATCAGAATGTTAGTGTGTCTGTATTTCAGACTTCTAGACAGGTTCAACTGATGAAGAAGAGAAGTGTTGTGTCGTGTTAGCCTGTTCACGTCTACCATGTGTCCATGAATCAACTCTAATTTGGGGAAAATTGAGTTCTCATGGTTTTAACCTGATTAGGCCTAACTCTGTCCCCGTCTGTAAACAGGACGTGACACAAAAAGCCCTTGCACTGTGTACAACTTTGTCGAGGGTCCACATCTCTATTATGAAGTCCATTAAAAAAGGAGTAGTTTTACATCGTAGCACCAAGGAGGCTGTTGAACCACCACTCCCTCCATCAGAATCCCCTGTTACAGGATCCCAGCTACGGTACAGTAGCACAAACCAGCCACCAGAGGCAGCAGAGGTCTACCGGTTCATGTGACTGCCAACTCTCCGGGCATAGATGCAGATGATCTACCGGTTCATGTGACTGCCAACTCTGTAAAATCCTCGATATTCTCTCCGGGCATAGATGCAGATGGATTAGAAACTTTAGAAATAACCTGTTACATTGTTACAGTGTAACAAAGTCTTCTCAGAGAAGATTGGTCAGGTTTCCATCAGGTGGTGTCGTTCTGTGTCTGTTTGTACGTGGGAGTTGCAACCTATTAAAAAACTTTAAGAGATGTAATTCGATTTTCAAGAGAAAATAAGAATAAAAACGGATGTTGTTGTCTAAATCCAGCTCAACTGGTTTATCTGTTTGTTCCATGAACTTTTTTAAACAGTTTGTTTGACTTGAGTGACACACACACACACACACACTGCAGTGTGAAATGTAGTTGGAGGTATTTAGCAGGAGGCAGAGGCATGTACACATGAACACAGCATGTTTACACTTACAATTAGCATAAGTTTGTTTACTAACCTCACTAATCACTGAGGAACTAATGTCACGAAAAAAGAAAAAACACCAAATAAAAAAAACAATTTGTACTTGGACGAATTCATAGTTTAGTTTGAACAACATTAAAATAATTTAGGCAAAATGTAAGTTAATTCAAAAGCACTGCTGAAATTTTAATGTTGAAAAATTCAAATGTAGTAAAAAAAATAAAACAATAAAAAGTGTATATTTGATATTATAAATGTACCAACATGTGTTTCAATATTTTTCTAAATAAGGAGAAAACACAATTTTAGAACCAGGTGAAATAAATAAAATGCCTATACAAATGTCTTAGTTTTCACTTTGACTCAAAAACAATATTGTCATAAGGACTGATGTCTTTACTTAGTATTTTACTATTCTTTATGTAGTCTTTGTAAAATATTAAATAAAAGGCATTGCAGAGACCATGCATGTGTGCATTCACAGCTTAATTCATACAAGAGTTAGCACTGTTTGGTAACTTTTTCTGGAATTATTTTAAGCTCATTTCTATATTCTGTATTTTCTGTACAATTGTTTGCAGGTACTGAGGATTAACTTATCAACTTCCGTCCATGTCCATTCGTTTGACTTCTTTCCTTCATTGATCACTGGACCATTGTCTACGCTCAATGGCAGCATCAGAACTGATCCAAGACACAGACGATGTTCATCCTCACGTTGAAGCTAAGGCAACCACCGGCTGCCCCCCCTCACCACCTCAGAGGGTCGCCAACGGAGGGCCAACCCAAAACTCATCCACACCAACTAGGGTAATAAAAACCATTAACTATTTCTGAAAAAGTCTTTTGACATTTTTGGCGAAACCCTAATGCTTCAGCGTGAAATTTGGCCAACTTTATGTTACGATTCTTTGTTTTTTTTTGGATGACATATTGTGGGTTAACTGTTGTCTTGTTTTTGTGTATACTGGGAATATTTTGCTTCATTTGTATCTGTGTAATTTTTCAGTTTGCTAGGGTTTGACCACTTCAAAGCTTTAACCAGTTGTTTTTTGGTTATCATTTGTTATATTTTGACAAACCTTTAAGGTTTGCCAGTGCCATTGGTTTTCTTCTACTTAATTAATTGTCAGTAATTTGTCATCCTTTCGCAGACAACTGCCGACGACCATGATGACAAGAGCAAAAACGAGCGCAGCAAGCTGATCTCCCGCCTTCAGGAGAATCCGATAATCCGTACATTAAACAGTCGACTGCGAAGACGCTGCGACTACGTCAAGATCAGCTTCCCAGAGGAGCAGAGCGAACGCCTCCCTAAAGAGTGGTGGAAGACCGGCGTGGCTTTCCTTTATGCACTCTTCAACCTCCTCTTCACCACCGTCATTATCACCGTCGTCCACGAGAGGGTCCCTGACAAGTCCATCAACCCCCCGCTGCCAGACAAGTTCTTTGACTACGTGGACCGGGTGTCCTGGGCCTTCACAGTCTGTGAGGTCAATGGTCTGATCCTGGTCGGACTCTGGTTCATCCAGTGGCTCTGTCTGGAACACAAGTGTGTCTCCTCTTCTGTACTTTGTGTTATTGTTCAGAAACCTTTGTTTAGTGAAAAGTCAATAAAATTCACTCAACGAAAAATAAAAAGGAGCTGAATTTCACCAGTTTTTCACTTTTCTCTTCTTCTGTGCTATAGAGCCATTGTGGGTCGTCGCTGCTTCTTCCTCATCGGGACTATCTACATGTATCGCTGCATTACAATGTACATCACCACTCTGCCTGTGCCTGGAAAACACATGGTGTGCGCTCCAAAGGTATATACACACACACACACACACATTTCTGTTTGCTTTACTTCTACACTGACAGATTCATTATTGTCTGGTTGTTTTGTGTTTTGTACAACAGTTGTACAACAACTCCACAGGGAAAATCTGGAGAATTCTGAGGCTGATCTCAGGAGGAGGTAACTAATGTCTGCCAAAAATAAGTGAAAAATGAGTGCAGCTGGAGTCTGTTCCCAACAGAAGTTTGTGTCATTTTATAAACCAGTCACACTCCCACACCAAACTCTTAAGTGAAAACTAATGAGTGTTACATCCACTGCTGCCTTCAGCACTATTCAAATGTTTAGATTTTGTGACTTGCTGTTTGAAATTCTTTGTTCAGATTTACCTCAGTGACACAAACTGACCACAGGAGGCAGCAGAAGGACCAGCATCTCCTGGGTCTCTTTGAGCTAAAATCATTGATGGCTCATTATTCTTAGAACATTTATTGATCCTTGAAATTGAAAGTAGTTTAAAAGAAGTTTTAAAATGTTTAATTTTTTTTTCTGAAGGTCTGTCGATGACAGGATCTCACCTGATGTGTGGGGACTTCCTGTACAGTGGCCACACTGTCATGTTGACGCTGTCCTACCTCTTTATCAAAGAGTGTGAGTACACACACATTTCTAGCAAAAATGGAAAACAATAAAAAAGTGTTGTGTAATGTCCACAAGGAGGCGACGTCACTAGTTTGTACGTTAGTCTTTGCAAAAATTACTAATATACTTTCTGTTAGTGGCCAACGTCTAATTGTTGCATTGCCCACTAACGCTGTAGAGTGTGGGCATAGAGTCCACAGTCCATAAGCTTTGTTTGAAGGGTTTGAATGATTTTCTCTCAGTTAAAAAGAATAAAACAAAAATGATACAGTAAGCTGCTAGTTTAGCTCATTGGTGGCAGTTTTGCTAACAGCTAGCAGCAGTATTCTCAGCTAATATCACTATATTAATGTTTTTTTTTTCAGATTCTCCTCGTTGGATGTGGTGGTACCACGTCATCTGCTGGCTGCTCAGTGCTTCAGGTGTCATCTGCATCTTGGTGGGTCACGAACACTACAGCGTTGACGTGGTGATCGCCTACTTTGTCACCACCCGCACCTTCTGGACGTACCACACCATGGCCAACACACATGTGAGTGATAGGGAATCTGAAGTTTGCGAAAAAACAAAACCACTGGTTAATTATTTTTTTCTGCTTTGTTTTTGCTTCTCAGTCGTTACGTCAGGCTCCAAACAACTTTCTCTCCAGGACATGGTGGAACCCCATTTTCAACTTCCTGGAAAAGAACGTCCAGACGACAGTTCCCATCAAGTTTTCATGGCCGGTGACGCTGCTGTCGTCCTGCAGGCAGCGGTACAGGATAGTGGAGGGAGGGAGGGACGAATGAGACTCATGTGGTAAATACTGAAGAAGAACTGACTGAAGCATCAGTGGTCTGTCCTCACAAGCACAGAGGAAGCCGCTCAATGAGAGCTATAAACTTTGAACTAATGATTACTGCTACATCTGTCTGACAGTCAGAGGAAAATGTCAGACCTACAGAGGTGGGACTGTAAATTTAAAGCATGTACAGTTAGCCTTGACCTAGTGTGTCATATGGAAAATAGTCATTTGTATTTAATTCTCCCCTCCCAGAGTTATTTTAGTTGTATTTTTAAATGTTTAATATCGTAATTTTGAAGTAAAAGCTATAATACTAGCTTATTGATGCTAACAACACTGTTCTACTGCTACCACTTGATTTTGAGGTGCCATCAGTAAACTAAAAAAGCTAGTCAGATTTTGTTCATTTAAAACTTTAGTTGTTGTTTTGTTGTTGATGCAGACTTGATGAAGTCTTCTTTTGATAACTTTAAATGTTTTTTTCTGTTGTCATTTTGTAAGTTAAGTTATTTTTAAGTCTTCCTAAAAATCATGTGTACTTTGACTCCATGTTTACTTAAATGACAGAAATGTGTTACAACAGTGTGTTTTCAAAGTTTAAAAATAAAACAAACGAGTTTAAAAGTTGCTGAAGGTAATTTTCTTTTGGGTTTTTTCTAGTTTACGCTAGGATAATATACAAATAAATAACGTAATTGTAAGGTGTGACAACCAATGAATAAATATTTAATGACCAAAAAAAATAAGCATTACTGTTGCCAGTCGGACGGTGTTGATGTACGGACCGGAAGCCCTGGACAAAACACTCCGCGCCAGTTGTTACCTCCGACATGGAGCTGCAGCAAGAGCTTAGCGTCGTCAACTTGTCCAAAGTCGAACTACTGAGAGCAGTGGTTGTGGAAAAACTTACTACGGCCGCACAGGAGATCATGGCCGTGGTGGAGAGAACGGTGGCCTCATACGAGGAGGAGGCCTCGAGCTTCCGTGAGGAGGTGGACCGACAGAAGAAGCAGCTGGAGCTACTGCTAGAGACGCGCCACATCAAAACAGAGTCGTCAGGTACTGGAACGTTGTTATTGTTCACATTCACAACTATGATGACTTCCTCTAACTTAAGTCTTATTTTCACAATATCTCCTTCACGATTAACGCTGGTTTTATATAGTGTGAGAATGATGAAGTGTTATCTAAAAGTCAGGTTCTGAGAAATGAAAGTTAAGAAAAAAAGTTTCTATAAAAAGTATTTTTTCCCACTTTTAATAACTTCATTGCTAATAATACAGTAGAAACACCGAACAGAATTGCGAATCCCACTAGTGTGAATGCATATTAGTGTTTATGCAATGTTAATCGATATCTGTATTAGAAAATATATGAGAGTCAATTCGGCTCATATTTATACTCAAAGTCAATGTTACCCCATTTTGGGAATTGTAAGAAAAGAGTTGTAAGAAAAGAATTGTAAGAAAAGAATACAAAAATTCACATTTTGACTTCCTCTGCTGCAGAAGACGAATTTCATGAGCCACAACATGAGATGGTGCAAGGAGTCAACGCAGGAGTTGAAACCACCCCAGAGGATCAGCAGCTGAAATATGAACCAAGTCAGTCACAGAGGCAATGATCTCAATTTAAAGCAAAGAGGCTGATGTTTTTTAGGCCTGTTGTCAGAAACGTCTTAATGTATGTCATTACTTCTCTGCAGGTTTTGAGGACAACGATATTATTCGTACTGTTCAGTACACAGGAGACTCCTCATTTTCCGAACAAGCAGTACCGGAGCTTACACAGTCTCAGAGTCAGGCTCCTCTCACAGAACAGACCTGTGAAGAGTCGTCCAGGTGACCTCAATGGAACAGTGTTTGAATCATACCGATAGAGATATGCAATATGAGGATTCATGGTCTGATCTCGGCTCATCATCTCCCACATCACAGGAACAGCATCAGCAGTAAGGTTGAGGAACCAAACCATGTTGTTTTAAAAATCCGGGTCCTGGAAGACTGTGAGAGCGAGGTGTTCTCCATTAGAGGTAACTGTTAATCAGTGGGTTTTCTTCTTAATAAGCAGTTTTATGGTGCTTTAGACCAGTGTTTCCCAACCTTGTTTCAGCCACAGCACATTTATATCATCAGGAAAAACCCCACGGCACACCACCAAACAAAAATCTCACAAAATGTATATGTAATGAAATATAAAAATCTTCTAGTTTAAATTTACTAAAAATGTACTGTTTAGTTGAAGGCAATGCTGACATACTGGCAGGAATTGAAGAAAGACACAAAGATCTTCAACAGCTCTGATTATCTTTTTTTTCAGTTTTAATAACCATCTACTGCCATCTAGCAGAAAAGGATGTAACTGCTCTGCCTTTCATGCATTGACGAAAAAAAATTGTAATAAATAAATAATAGTTTTGGCAGTGGCTAATTTCCCACAGCACACCTAATGATCTCTCATGGCACAGTGGTTGGGAATCACTGCTTTAGACACACAAAAAACAATTGTTCTCTCAGACCGGAGTCATTAGAGTCCTCAACCTCAGTGATTAAAATCCTTGTTTAGATTCAACTCAGTGAAAGAAACTGACCACTGGAGGCAGCAGTGAACCTACACTCCCTGCATTCCTATGAGCTTATTAACAAACGTTTTCTGTTTTATAAAGCACTGAATGAGGCAGCCATGTTTTTACCAGGGGAGAGACTTAGTTCCTATAATAAACTGCACTCACAGCAAATTTTGCAGTTTAAGCACCAGTGCATCTTTTTTTATTGAGTTTTTGGTGACTGTAAGGTCTCCTCACGTGTCGCAGAATCCAGAAATTACTCTGAGCAGAAGCTGAAGTGTCCTCGCCATCTACCGGAGAAGGACTTCCTGGAACTCCTCAGGTCCATGTTCCCACAACTGAGGGCTGACAAACCATTGGAGTTGTTAAAGTACAACAGGAAAAAAAATCTACGTCCTCTGAAGCTGAAGTCACTGACGCCTCTGGAGATCATCAAGAATGTCTCCATTCACTCTGCCCTCTACATCCGACTGAGGGTATGGCGCTGCAAAATGATTAAACGGTTGAAGATTTAGAACAAACATAAGTTTGTCAGCAGCTTACTCTTTCTTTGACTACCACTAATGTTGACTTCTCAGGAGCTGCCACTTCTCTGAACCTGCTGACAAAAGCAGCGGTGAATAAAAATCCAAACATGTGACAAAAAACTGACTCTTAAAATGAAATGCCTGTGTGTGGAATGGTTTTTGTTTGTTGTGGCATGAAGACCAGACTGATGAGTGTCTTCTCTTACAGACAAACGATGTCACCAAAGATTCTTTGCCAAACCTGAACCAAACCGGTTCTTCGGGCCACGTAGAGCTCAGCATCCATCTCCTGAACAACTCCACAAACTATGATGTTCTGCCACCAAAAGGTATTTAAGTTTAGTGAATGGTAGCCGTTTGGTGGATTTCACTTCTTTCTACCACACAACACCAGAACCATTTTTTGAGGAACTCTATATTAAACCTGCTTCCTGTCCAAACATGGCCTGTGGAACTTCTGTTTAGTACATGTACCAACCCTGAACAGACGCAGACATGGTGGTAATGATTCTGTCGTGTTCTCCAGTTTACGATGGGTGCCCGGTTCGTATTTTGAAGTGTCCCACTGGTCTGCAAGAGTCCGACTTCCTGGAACTGCTGAGGTCCGTTTTTCCTGTGCTGCAGGCTGACAGACCACTGGAGTTCTTTACAGCCAACGTACGCAGGAAGATGTTTCCTCTTAGATTGAATACTGTGACGCCAGAGGAGATCCTGGGTCACGTGAAGTCCAGGGGGAGCTGTGCCCTCTTTCTTCGTTCAAAGGTACTGCATCCAGATTGAGTGTTCTGTCAAAGTTGCTGTGTATTTTGTGAAACTCCAGTATGAATCTCCCCTTTAGCCTCTTGAGGTTGAAGATGTTCAGAGTCCTCCAGCAGACCTTCAGTTGAAAGTCAGGGTTCTGGAAGACTCTCGGATCAGTGTCCTTAACACAGCAGGTACTTTCAAACTGCTTTCTGCTGATTTTGGGTGTGGCCTCCATTGTTAAATATGTGGAGAACCTTGACTGGGTCTTTGATGGATTCTGTGATTGACTGAGGTAGGAAAATACCAAGTCGAGACTAAGAAAAGTCCATAATGTATGTATTTTCTTGGTCTATGTTGGTACCTTGTCTCTGTCCTTCCAAATTTTAATTCTAAGTATAATGTGAGGATTGTTCCTCGTGTAGTTACCTTGTTCTTTCTTCTTCTTTTTCACAGTCTTTCGGAAGTATCGCTCTCACACCCTGAAGTGTCCAAGTGGTCTGCAAGAGCCGGACTTCCTGGATCTCTTAAGGTCTACGTTTCCACAGTTGGCCCCAGATGTGTCCTTTGATTTCTACACGTCTTCACGATCCAAGCGGCTCTATCCTCTAGAAGTCAACACCCTGACACCTGAGGAGATCCAGCGTGCCATCAGGTCCACCGGGTTCTCATCCCTCTACATTCGAGTGAAGGTACAGTGGTTTGACGATGGCCTTGAAATGAAAAAGAAGAAAGTTCTGTGACTTGCAGAAGTATATGTGTGTATTTTTGGGCTGGGCAACAATTCTACACATCCCTGTAGAAGGTCCAGTATCTTAATTCAGTTGAAGAGAAGGTCTTTCAGGTTCTGTTTCACCATTTGCTTCTTTTGTGGCATATGTTCAAAGTCTCTTTGTCTTGGTTCAAACTTAAGGGACCCCAACAAGTCGGTGGACATGAGGACGACCTGAAGGTGAATGTTGACGCCATGAAGGCTTCTCCGTCCATCTCCGTTATGTTCTGTGACTTGCAGAGTCCTTAATGTCCGTAAAGTTGACTGACTTTTTTTTTTATTGCCAAATTTTACCCATGAGTCCTAGTAAGGCACTGGGGGCATTAGTTGGGTGAACAGGGCTTGTTGGTCCTGTAGTATGTCCTCCTTAAGGTAGAGTCACTAGAGAACAGATACTGTTGTTATTTATTGCGATACATTAAACATGAAACAAAACTTTGATTCAGTTGATAGGTCATTAACATTTTATGTTTGATTATTAGAAATGTTTTTTCATTTTGTTACAGTATTTATTCATGAATGACTGTATAGCCAATGCCCTGCTGGTTTCTTGTCTTCAGCAACCATGTTGATCAAGGTGGCAGAAGTTTTAGTGAAGAGGAACCTGAAGGTAAAGGTCCACTGTCACACTGGTCTGTGCAGCACAGGCTTAAGTACTGGAGTGAAACAGAAGACGTGGATAATGAGGACGTAGACGAATGGACACCAGAAAGAAAGGTAAAAACAGAGCTGAAAACATCAAGCGGGAAGCGAAGGGTCCATTCTGAAGGCACGGTGAAGAAGAAAAAGAAGATCCAGCCTAACAGCAAAGATAGTCCTGGTCCTCGGTCCTGTGTGGTTTGTAAAATCCCACGCAACTCCCTCAGCATGTTGATCAAACACAGCTGGACTCACATGGACCATCCAGCCAGGCTGTGTGGTGTCTGTGGAGAACATTCGGAATCTTCTGAGGAACTTGGTCGTCACCTTCACGGTCACCAGAAAACACACAGCTGCAGCATCTGTGGGAAGTCCTTCTTGTCCATCCTCGGCCTTCGGGGACACCTTGACCGGCACATGTAAGAGAAACCGCACCGTTGCCATATCTGCCAGGTAGCCTTGGCCCAGTCCGAGGTTCTGCAAAGACACACGCTCATCCACAGCAACGACAAACCAAACGTCCAACTACAACGTCACTCACTAAAAACTGGAACAGAACTTTCTTTGGAAAGGTCTGGAAAGAAAAAGACCGTTTCTTGGCAATGTTGAAGTTGATGAGAACGTGTGTGTGTGTGTGTGTGTGTGTGTGTGTGTGTGTGTGGAGGAGCTTGTCATGTGTATGTTCGTTTCACCTGAATGTACTGCTTTTAGTGTGCTTTTTAAGATTGATTTTAAGATGATTTTAGTTTTTCATCTTTAAAAAAAGTTTTTTTTTTTAATGGGTGTACATCACATATTCTATGGCAGTGATTATCAACTGGTGGACCATGGGCCAAATCCAGCTGTTGAATCATCCAATCCAGCCCTTAAATAGATTCTAAAATAAACATCAAATAACAATGTTAGACAAAAATGTTATTTTAATGTCTGTCTGGAACAACTCTGTCCCTCTGACAAATACAGCTGATGACCCCGGTCATCTCTATGACCTGTATGCAGTACATACTGTAGAGATTGTATATAAAATTGTCCAGTATTTTATGCTGCATCTGGACATCATTGAGAACAATGATCGACATTAAACAGTCCATGATGTAGTGGAAGGTCAGTGACCTCAGCAGCAAAAGGTGGAGGTAGAGGTTACCACTTCAGAACATCCACGACAGAAGAACAACAGCAGCCACTGGTCTACATCTTCAGGACCCTCCCAGAAGACAAGGAATTCAGTTTTATTTTGAACCATGTGAGTTGTGACGACCAGGTGATCTGTGAGACTTCAAAGACACTGGACTGGTGCTTTGTCAAAAACCACAAACCTAAATAAGCCAGTATTTGTCGAAAGGAACAGGGAGGTGATGATTTTGGACTTCAGTTGGAGATGAGAGAGGAGAAGAGAAACAGCCTAGATATTCATCATGATGATCATCTTCATGTCCTTACTGAGCAGCTTCTTCAGTCCATCATGTCTGCTGAATCTCTGCTGATTATTGTACTGTCCATCATGGATGAAGACCTCGGCCTCTCCAGCTCCTCATCTTCAGTGTTAACGGCTGCAGTTGACCCCGGGTGACCCTGAGGTAGTTCAGGGCAGCTCCAGCATGTTGTGCTGGGCCAGGATGTGCTGCGTTCGCTGGTGGACCACAGTCAGGGCCTGAATGATGATGTTCATGATGGGCGTGGCCTCCTCCTGGTGCTGGGCACACACCAGCTGCAGGAAGTACTGTCGGTCAGGGAGAGCTATGAAGACCAACTCCGCAGCCTGGCGCAGCACCCAGTGGTGGTAGGGAGCTAGCGCCACCTTGTAGGCATCCCTGCAGGACAGCAGCTATTGACTTGTCTGTCCAGGTTTTATTTTGTGGTGGAACTTTTTGCATTCATCCGTGTTTTTACCTGCTCAGTTCTCCTGGAGTTTTGTATCGTCCGTCTGCGTCCGGCCCTCCAGCCAAACCCTCCAGCATCAGTTTGAGCCACAGCAGAGAACGGTGGAGTCGCAGCAGCGTCCTGCAGCCTGAATCTGTGCGTTGGGAGAAGTTTACCACACCCGCTTTTAGCTCCGCCTCCACCATGGATCGAATTGATCGAAAGGCCTCAAATGAGAAGCACCCCAGAATATCAGTGTCATTAAACATTTGAACAAAGTGTCAAAGAGTTTTCGACAACGCCAACACTCACCCCGCGGTTCAGTCCAGATGATGAAACTTTCTGTAGGGCAGAATGTTGGGCATTGTTTTTCCCATCAGCCTCTGCAGCGTGTTTGAGTGACAGCTCCTGAACTAGTGTAACTTTTTTCTTCACTTTTTGCGAGAAGAAACTGACCATCGTTCCCAGAGAGTTCATGAAGCTGAAGACAAAAATTGGAAATAAGACTGAATCAGACTTCGAGCACATTTGTTGGCATCTTCATTCCAAACCCAGACTCACTACAGAGAGACGTTTGTTGTGATTTCTATGACTTGTTATTTTCATTTAAAAAAAAAAAAGTATTTCCCTCAGATTAAATCTGAAATCAACAGCTCTGTCTGATCACTTTTGTCGTCACATATGTTTTCGTTCTGGCTTCACCTGAGCAGCTGATCCCAGCTCTGCAGGTACGGCTCCAGCAGAACATCGTCTTCGTCGTCTCCGCTCTTAGACAGACTGGACCTCAGATACATCAGCAGGAGACGAGCCTGAAACTCCTGACCGGGACAGTCCTTTATGGTGGGTGGGTCTTCATCGGACCCCGCCCACTTCAGAGCAGCCGGTGGATGTTCAGACTGTGAGAGACAGAATCTTTTTATAATGGAAATGACAGATTTTCAGATTTTTTAATCACCCTGGAATGTTTGGGGACACTTTTTTCATGAATTACAGATGCAAATGGGGTTCGAAGCCCCGTCACAGATGGGCCGCCTCTGTGTGGCCGAGGAGCCTCAGTGTCAGCTGGCTTAATTAAATATAAAGACCTACAAGAACATCTGTGTTCTGTTGTTTATGGCTTCATCTTCACAAGGTGTGTGTCACACACCCCTTCAACGTGTGTCACTTTAAAACATCATTACAAAGGTCAATGATTTGGCTGTTTCAAGATGTGTGTGTGTCTGAGAGTGTGTTACCGTCCTACCGTCTGATGGTAAAAACTCAAACATGGCTGCCAGGTGTTGCCACAGTCTTTATTTCCAACTTGAGCTAAAAAAAAAAAACAGTAAAACAAAATAAGTCTGAACTATAAAAATAGTAAAAAGGGTGGAAACTTCTGCTGAATGACCATGACCAATGTAAAACCTGCTCCCTGTCAAGATGAAGACAAACTCTGACTGTGATTATGTCAAGGTTTAGGTCTAGTCTCTGTGATGGTCTGGAGAAGCATCAGTAGACCTGAGCTGATCTGCCAACAGGTGGAGGCTTCACTAACACATGGTCCTGTCAGGATCAGGTCTTTCCTGGAACTGTGTGAAAGTCAGTGTGACTTCAGAGATACATAGTTTGCGTGTGTGTGTGTGTTTGTGTGTGTTTCCTGCCTGTCCCCTAAATAAAATAGTTATGAAGAGAAGAAACAGACAACAGTGTCCACTGACTGTTGAACAGTCAAGTGTTTTAAGTCAGTTAAAAATTAAAGAACGTGTCGTCCTGGGGGTGGTGCCAAAATGGCTGACCAGAGATACTTACGTAGCCACAGGGAGCTGATGAAGACCAGCAGAGCCAAGATGGCCGACAGTTTCAGGCAGCGCCGTAGCCTAGTTTTCCTGGGGAACACCATGGCACACACACACACACACACACTGATGTTAACACACTTTCTCCCTCAACAGGCGACGTTTACGGGTCGTCGTTGTTACTTTCTCTGCTTCCGTACTTTTATTGAGGTCAAAGTTTGTTCTTAGCTCACTCTCTCAGGTAGAGAATGACTTGAACTTTGCTCGACGTCTCTGCCCTGCAGGACACTTCTGTCACTGCAACATGATCATTTTAAAATAATGTCAAATACTAGCATAGCATTTGCCTCTGATTTTTAAGTACGACTTACACTGAATGTCAAATAAAGGTCTTTGGAAAACAGAGACTTTGTCACGAGATCACATCCTTTTTTCTTTGAATTACTTTTTTAGCTGATGGATATCGTTGAGTGCTTGAGTATTATATGTGTGAGTGGCCATTGTTTTCTGATTGTCCTCTGATGCCACAGCTGTTTTGGTGGGAGACAGATGAACAGTAGACAGGACAGTCAAACACACAAGGACACACACACTGTATGTATGAAGCCAAACAAGACTTTGTGCAGAATGAGGATCCTGACTAAAAATGCCATCTGTAATAGATCACTTCTGCTTAAAATTCCAGTATCTGCCTCTAAATTAGGCTCTAACTTAAAAATAGCTCAAAAGTAAGAAAAATGTAGTTGAATGTGTTTAAATTGTATAAAACATATATTGGTTGAATCCAAAAATAGGGGAAAAACCCTACCATTCAGAATAGAAATTCAGACATAATTTGCCAGGTGACCTATTGTGACAATTTTTAAAAAGCTGTTAATGATAATGTTATAATTATTGTGTGTATATAATTATTATAAACGTTAATTATTTGTTTACATCAGTAATTTCCCTAAGGAAGATCAAACTGAATGATACAGTTTTATCTATCTATCTCTCTATCTATCCCCTGTTGTTTAATGGGTTGTCAAACACTCCGAACAGCAGATGGCGCTATGGTTAGTAGTCACCACTTAGCAGCAGCAGCTAAGTCAGTCAATGAAGTCGTGACGTGAGTGTGGATGTAATCACACCGAGAGAAAAGATGGAGACGTTGAGCAGAAGAACACTGGACAGGATTTATTCTCTGGTATTTTCGGCAAAGTGACACGTAACATTTTAAATAACCAAAAGTCCTTAGTTAGCATCTGTTACGATAGAGACTGGCGCCGACTTCCGGTTGAAGCCCGTTGTTAGGGCTAGTTTTAGCTGCTAAAACAAAACGCTGACCGACATTTGAACTTATTAAGGTGACATATCACTGCCTACTTACGGATATGTCCGTCTGTATTTGTTTAAATACAGCTAAATGACATATACACGTTGGCCAGACATAAAGCTAAAAGGTTAGGTTAAAGACTGTAATAAG